GGTTCTAGAGGGGGGGTTACAGGCCGATGGTAGGGCAGAGGGGGTTGTGGGGGGGTTGTGGAGCGAGGGGGCCGTGCCAGAGTTGGGGTGGCCTAGTGCAGTTGGGGTGTTGGTGGGTGACTGCAAGCTGGCAGGGGCCGTGGGGATAGGTGGGGTACGGGGTGAGGCGGCTGCAGGATGGGAGCGAGGCCTAGGGTGGTTGATGGGGGGGCTGGAAGCTTGGTCAGGCTGGTTGTCAGATGCAAATTGAGGCAGCTGCGGGGGACCCCAGTTCCCAGCACTGTGTCGTCCCCCCCATTTTGGGGTACCCCAGTTCCCAGTACTGCTTCCTCCCTCCCCACCATTTTGGGTCTGGGCTTCTCAACCCCAGGAGAGGGAAAATAAAAAAGTAACCACACAGAGAACATCACCAGCAGCCATTGCCCATGGTCTTTATTTTTTTTTTTTTCCAGAAAAGAAAAAAAACAACATTTTACATAGTTGGTACAAAAACAACTTAAAAAAAAAAAAAAAAAAAAAAAAAAAGAAAGGAGGGGGGAAATCCTGCAGCAACAGGACCTGGGGATCTCGCTGCAAGGACTCCAGCAGGAAATCTCTTTGGAAAGCGTGGCTCAGGGTAACCCCTGAGCCACACACAGCCACCCCGGTTATTCCCTTCCTCCTACCCACTTCATAAAAATTCAAGAGTTTGACACAAACAAGCTTTGGTTGCTAGCAGTAAACATGGATTACATTCTTCCGTCTCCTCGTAGACAATCTTGTGACTCAAGGCTTTCGCACCAGGGGAGACACCCTCTCGCGAGGGACATCTTTTTCTCATACATTCAAACACTCCCGTGTTACAGCAGGACCCTGAGTATGCAGCCTCATCCGCCCGCGATTCACTGTCCCGTAATGCATAGTGCCCAGCGCCTGCAAGCCGAGCATGGGCAGGGTGGGTGATGATGCAGCAATTTAGTTAATTATTGTTAAGATATGGGAAGAACCACGATGGCAAATGCAACGAGAAGATGCGAATCAATCCCATCTTCTCCAACGTGGCTTCCCTTTACAGATAAAAATCCCTGTTTTCTTGGATCCCGGTACCACGCTGGCCCCGGGGGAGACCTGAGTGATTCTCTAAGCCATTTGCTATTTGCTTTAGCCTAGGACAGGCATGGTTACAGAGCTCATATCCCCACACAGAGTTGCAAGGCAGAGTATACAGAGAAGATCCTGTCTCCCTGGTCCATAACCTATTAGATGCTTTGGCTATTTTTTTTTTCCTTTTTTTTTTTTCCTCTTACTTTTGTAAACAATAATCAAGGAGAATACTGAGAGAAAATGGAAAGATTTACAGAGGTATTTACACACACTAGACATCTAGCAGAAAAATCACCAAACCATTAAACTGGGGGCAAAGGGGGAAAGGTCCTACATCATTCTTCAAGACAGATACAAGCATTAGGGGGGCAGCAGTTTCCCCGGCACAACCGAGGTGCCAGGGGAAGGCCAACAGCCCCCCTGCAAAGCGGCAGCGGGACCGAGGCCCAGGCTTAGATGCGCAGCCCAGTGCGCTCTATTGCATTTACCCCGTTCAGACAAAAGCCGTTTTCCTGAAGTAGTTTTGTATAGATCCCATTGCTAGTCGAGAACTAAAATGTCCTTCCCCCCACCCTCCCAAGAAGAGACCACCACCTCACCATAAAAACTACTGGAGCAGGGCAAGCAAGCAGCTGGGGAGCCGCTCGCCATGCCCCCCTGCCCGGTGCCTGTGTGACACAAGACAGAGCAAAGTCTCAGAGGGGTCGCCAGGCTCCAGCAGCCTCAGCAAGTCCCCCCAGTGATGCCCGTCGGCGAGGATGGAGTAGGTGCTCCCCATCTGTTCCAGCCCTGCTCTACATCTAATCCTATTGCTACCTAAAAAACAGCAGAAACCGTGCCCACCTCCTGACACGCCAGCACGGTGAGATGCCCTCCCTGGGAAGGCTCCAGCCAGCCCCTGGGCTGTAAAGTGGAGTGTTAATGCCCCAAAACCAGGGATCCAGAGTTTCCCCTGGCCATCGTGAGCCAGCATTTGGGGGGAAGCCGGGAAGGGAGGAGAAAGATGGAGCAGTTGCACCTCTCTGGTACTTGGGTCCACCTTGGCATGAGGTCCCTCGTCCCAGGAGGTCACGAGCCAGCCAGCCCTTTGCTCAAGGGCGAGCTAAAGCAGGGGATTGAGGAAAACCCTCAGTCTCCCAACAGACTCCCCAGCCGCTGTCAGCTCTTGCCATGTTCCCCTGAACAGACTGGGACCCCCATCCTGGCTTTCCAACCCCCAGCCACACGGCACCAGCCTGCTGGGAGCCTGTGCGACATCCCAGCCCGGGGGGCAATGGGAGGACTCGAGCACGGGGCGGACTGGAGTGTTCCCATTGGGACGGCGGGGAGGGGACGTGTGAGCGTAAACAGGAGAGAGAAATGGAGGACAGTCCTCAAAAGCCACTAGGCTGGGAGAAAATCTGGAGTTGGGGAGCCGACACAGGCTCTAGCAGCTGTTCCCTGCCCTGTGGCACTGCCTGGCTTCTCCATCCCCGCAGGGGGACTACACGGATCTACAGACCCAAATTCCTCCTCAGTCCAGTGGGGAAGGGAAAGAGACTATTAAAATACAGTTAAAAAGAAAACAAATCCCAAACATACAAAAAAACACAACTGAAAAGCTCAACAACACGTCAGTCCACCTAGCGAACGTCCAGTGAGGTAGATCTACACTTCCAATACAAACTTCATCACGTCTTTGTGCTGTTAGAAAAAACCCTCCTCTCTGTCCAGCACTGGGCTACAGAGGCATTTTATCCCTGAGATTGCTCGAATACCTGAGAATAAGTTGCAGGAATTATGTCCTTTCTCTCTCATTTTTTTTTCTTTTCTTAAAGATTAAAATATACAAAAATACAAAAACAGAATATTTATATTAAAAAAAAAAAACAAACCCAAAACAAAGACAACAAACAAACCCAAAGATACGTCATTCACGCACGTCCTAGTGCAGGTTTCACTTGGTGTTGGCTTCGGCACGGACGGGGGGGCTGCCCCAGGAGAAGGGCTGTCACCAGGGCCAATAAATAAAGGCAAGACTTGGGGGGGCCGGTGGGGAGGGAGGACAGCAGCCGCTAACAACCTGGGGCACCCTTTTCCTCTGCCCCTGGGGAGGCTCAGCCCAAGAGCCATCGGTTTCTGGAGCGTGGGATGGGCAGGAGGAGCAGAGGGGCGTTTTTGTCCTGCGTGGGTTTGATCCACAGCCCGTGGGAAGACCCAGGCAGTCTGGAGTCCGGATCAAGCCACGGCTGGATCTGTGTGAGTCCCGGGTGGGTTGTGTACACGGCCTCTGAGGGAAACGCTGCCAGCAACATCCCCGGGAGCCAGCTCTGCCCCGTGTCTGGTGCCCAAGGCTTAACGAAGAGTATTTCTGCTCCATGAAGCCCTCCCACTCCCCAGCTGTGTTTCAGAGGCAGGGTTCTCTTTAGAGGGGAAAAGCTGGCTGTATAAAACACCTTGTGCTCTCTGGGCTGGCACTTGGGAAGGCTTAGGGGAGAAAAAAACCCAAAAAATATTTTTCTTTTGACTTGATCTCCCCCAAGCCACAGCTCACAGCCCACAAGCAGGCAGCAAGCATTAGCCCAGCCCTAAGAGATGCCCTATTTCTTTCCAGACTGAGGCCAAATCTGGGATCTGCTGGTTTCAGCAATGGGGTGACCACAGAAAAACTGCAAATCCTCACAGCGACCTGCGAGAAAGAAGCCGCGAGGAGCAGAGGGACCCGTGGGACCGGCCCACGGGCATGTCCTCGGTGGTCTGCAGCCAGCCTTTCCCCCTTGGCCTCCCTCCCTGGGGCAGAGAAGATGGGGCAGGCGTAGGAGTGGGTCGCCCACAGCTCATCCAAGCTGTGCCGGAGCCTGTTTGAAGCTCAGGAGAACAAGGAGCCATGAGCTCCTCCCTGAGATGTTGCTTCTCTGCTCCTCCTCCCAGAGACACTACTGCCTGGCTTCATTTAGGAAAAGGATAAAGATGAATCAAATATGGTTGGGTTTTTTTTTTTAGCTGGAAGAGGTATGTTGGGTGCTGCCTTCCCCTAGTTTTAGAATGAGCCATCCCGATGAAAGCAGGGCTTTCCCTGGGCTGGGACCAGGAGGAAAAGGTCTCTGCAGGGACACCGGGTCCCCACCGTTAGCATTGCCGTCTTCCCTCCCCAGTCCTTCACCCTGCCCTCCCTCCTCCGAGCCCCCACGGCTGCCCGTTGCCTTGCCAAAGCCTTTTCATCCCGGTGGAAGCCCCTCCCCGCCACCCGCCATCATTCCCGGGTTTCGGGGAGGAGGGCTGAGCTGTGCATATCCTCCTCCTCTCGGAAGTAGGCAGGTTTTCCCTGGGAGCTGGGGGACTGCTGTGCTTTCGCAGGGCAGTTGGCGACCATGTGGCTGATGCTCTGGCAGAAGTGGCATTTCTTGGGCTGCGGCGGGAGCTTGCACTCTTTGGCATGGTGGTCCAGCCCGCCGCAGTTGTAGCATCTGCGGGGGGGGAGGAGAGAGATTCGAGGAGGAGAAATAAAATGAGGTGGGATGCTGCTGTGACCGGGCCTGGGACCCATCCAGCTTCGCAGGCAGAGCTGGGCTTAAAATGGCCTGGCTGCTGCGGGGGTGTGGGGTCAGCTCTTTGGGGGCGGATGGTGGCCCTGGGTTTGGTCCCCGCAGAGCCCCGGCTCCAGCACGGCCAGTTTGGACCTGGCTCAGTGGTGCTGCTG